GGGGGCTGATCCGATCCCGAAAACTAATTATCACTGTTATTTAAGAAAATTAATAGTTACTAAATTTTATTTTTTTTTTAGGTTTTTAGATAAATATATTATTATAATTTATAAAAAAAAATGTTAAGATGGTAGACGGAATTAATTTCATTTTATAATAAATTAATTTATGGATTAATACAATAAAATTCATACATGTAAATACTGTATTTTTTTATTATCAAAGTAATTAGTTTTTATAAATCAATTCATTAATTTAAAAAATTCCATTTTATCAATATTTTCTTTAATTACTATTTACTTTTACATAATAATGTTTTAATTAGCCTTAAATAAATTCCATTACTTCATTTTTAATAAATGTTTAATTAAAATTTTACTAAATTAATTGATGTATAACTATTATGTTACTGTAATTTTCCTTTAAATTCAAATCATAGTTGAAAAATTTGTTAAATTTATACTATAAAGAAAATTATTTAGGAAATTTTTTTTTACTAACTGATTTATTTACATTTATGATGAAAATGAAATATAATGTCATAATTATATTACTGTCTAATTAAAATGATGTTATACTATCAACTTTTTAATTGAAATATAAGAATTTAATATTTATTAAATATTATTGTTTTTGGGTTTAAGATAAATGTATAATTTATAATTTATAATTTATAAATAAATATAGAAAAGTTATTAAAATCATAAACGTAACTAAATTCAGTGAATTTAAATGATTAATACAATAAATTCATACATATAAATATAATAATTTTATTATCAAAGTAATTAATTCATTAATTTAAATAATTCGATTTTATTAATATTGTTTCAAGTACTATTGATTTTGACACATTCATAAGGAGACTTATTCACAAAAAAACTTTAACCCCTGTTTGGATCATGGTAAATGATAGAATTTTAATATATGGTATTTTACAGGCGTGAGAAAACTGTATTTATTTCAACTTCCAATTGTAATAAATGATATTTGACTGACAAATTTTGGAGTAAATTTTTAAATCACCAAATTAGTGATACTTGGTGGGCATTCTATTTGTTTTCCATTATACCCTAATCTAATTTAATTAATTTCACCGCAGGTTGAGCCACCACTGCAGCGAGAGGATCCCGAGCCACCCCAGTATGACCCTACTCCTTCACAGTACCACCCGGCACCACCGCAGTATGATCCGGTGCCCTTGCTGCAGTATTGCCCGGCACCGCCACAGTACAATCCGGTGCCCCTACCATATCAGCAAGTACCACCACAGGGCCCCCCAGTCTATCTTTAGCCTGGCCCAGTCCTTTTTTCACGGGACCCAGTTCCTCCAACGATTGACCCAGACTATATAGAGAGGTATAAGATATTAAACTCATATACTTTTGCAGGGAATCCTCTTTTGAAGATGCCGAATACTGGTTGACAGAGACAGAGAAGGCCTTTAAGATCCTAGGGGTGA